CAGGTGATCCGTCTGCGTGCTGCCTTTGCCCAGGGTCCCTCGGTGGTTCTGGCTCTGGATCTCCTCGTGGGTGACCTTGGGGGTGTCCTGAGAGCGGCTCCGGCGCCGCTGCCGCTGCCCAGGGTGAGAGCACTGCTGGCCATGACCCTGAGAGGGCTGGGACATGTTCATGAGAACCATCTACTGCACAGGGTGAGTGTCCAAAAACTGCCAAAATATCCCCAAAATCACCCGGAAAATATCCCCAAAATATCCCCAAAATATCCCCAAAATATCCCCAAAATATCCCCAAAATCTCCTCTGGCCATGACCCTCAGAGGGCTGGGACATGTCCATGAGAACCATCTACTGCACAGGGTGAGTGTCCAAAAACTGCCAAAATATCCCCAAAATCACCCTGAAAATATCCCCAAAATATCCTCTGGCCATGACCCTCAGAGGCCTGGGACATGTTCATCAGAGCCATCTACTGCACAGGGTGAGTGTCCAAAACACCCCAAAAATATCCCCAAAATATCCCCAAAATATCCTGAAAATATCCTCTGGCCATGACCCTGAGAGGGCTGGGACATGTTCACCAGAATCACCTGCTGCACAGGGTGAGTGTCCAAAACACCCCAAAAATATCCCCAAAATATCCTGAAATCACCCAGAAAATATCCTGAGAATATCCCCAAAATATCCCCAAAATATCCCCAAAATCTCCTGAAAATATCCCCAAAATATCCTGAAAATGTCCCCAAAATATCCTGAAAATATCCCCAAAATCTCCTCTGGCCATGACCCTCAGAGGGCTGGGACATGTTCATGAGAACCATCTACTGCACAGGGTGAGTGTCCAAAACAGCCCAAAAATATCCCAAAATCACCCTGAAAATATCCCCGAAATATCACTGAATATATCCCCAAAATATCCCAAAAATATCCCCAAAATCTCCTCTGGCCATGACCCTCAGAGGGCTGGGACATGTCCATGAGAACCATCTACTGCACAGGGTGAGTGTCCAAAACACCCCAAAAATATCCCAAAATCACCCTGAAAATATCCCCAAAATATCCACAAAATTGCCTCTGGCCATGACCCTGAGAGGGCTGGGACACGTCCATGAGAACCATCTACTGCACAGGGTGAGTGTCCAAAACAGCCCAAAATCACCCTGAAAATATCCTGAAAATATCCTGAATTCACCCAAAAAATATCCCAAAATATCCTGAAAATATCCCCAAAATCTCCTCTGGCCGTGACCCTGAGAGGGCTGGGACATGTTCATGAGAACCATCTACTGCACAGGGTGAGTGTCTAAAACACCCCAAAAATATCCCAAAATCACCCTGAAAATATCCCCAAAATATCCCCAAAATATCCCCAAAATCTCCTCTGGCCATGACCCTGAGAGGGCTGGGACATGTCCATGAGAATCATCTACTGCACAGGGTGAGTGTCCAAAACAGCCCAAAAATATCCCCAAAATATCCTGAAATCACCCAGAAAATATCCTGAGAATATCCCCAAAATATCCCCAAAAATATCCCCAAAATATCCCCAAAATGTCCTCTGGCCATGACCCTGAGAGGGCTGGGACATGTTCATGAGAACCATGTACTGCACAGGGTGAGTGCAGAAACACCCCAAAAATATCCCAAAATCACCCCAAAATATCCCCAAAATATCCCGAAAATATCCTGAAAATATCCCCAAAATATCCTGAAAATATCCCGAAAATATCCTGAAAATATCCCCAAAATATCCTGAAAATATCCCGAAAATATCCCCAAAATATCCCGAAAATATCCCGAAAATATCCTCAAAATATCCCAAAAAATATCCCGAAAATATCCTCAAAATATCCCCAAAAATATCCCCAAAATATCCCGAAAATATCCCCAAAATATCCTGAAAATATCCCCAAAAGATCCCAAAAATATCCTGAAAATATCCTGAAAATGTCCCCAAAATATCCCCAAAATATCCTCAAAATATCCCAAAATTTAGCCACAAATATCCCCAAAATATCCCAAAATCTCCCCCATTTTTGAGATATTTTGGGGATATTTTTTGAGACATTTTCAGGGTAGTTTTGGGATATTTTTGGGATATTGTCAGGATGTTTTTGGGTTAATTTTGGGATATTTTTGGGATATTTCTGAGATACTTTTGGGATATTTTTGAGATATTTTGACGTCGAGTTTGCAATATTTTTGTGGTATTTTTGGGATATTTTTGGGATATTTTTAGGATATTTTTGTGCCATTTTTGTGCTGATTTTGGTCTATTTTTTGGGATATTTTTGGGATATTTTTAGGATATTTTTGTGCCATTTTTGGGTTGGTTTTTGGGGTTTTTTTTGGGATATTTTTGTGATATTTTTAGGATATTTTTATTCCATTTTGAGCTGATTTTGGTGGTTTTTTTCACTTTCAGGATCTCAAAGCAGCCAATCTCCTGTTGGACTCCCGGGGTCTCCTCAAATTGGCCGATTTGGAGATATTTTTGTGATATTTTTGTGCTATTTTTAGGATATTTTTAGGGTGTTTTTAGGATATTTTTAGGATATTTTTGTGATATTTTTAGGATATTTTTGTGATATTTTTGTGCTATTTTTAGGATATTTTTGGGATATTTTTAGGATATTTTTAGGGTATTTTTAGGATATTTTTAGGGTATTTTTAGGATATTTTTAGGATATTTTTGTGCCATTTTTGTGCTGATTTTGTGCCATTTTTGGGTTAATTTTGGTCTATTTTTTCAGATATTTTTGGGATATTTTGGGTATGATTTTTCTGATATTTTTAGGATATTTTATATTAATTTTGGTTTATTTTTTGCCATTTCAGGATCTCAAAGCAGCCAATCTCCTGTTGGACTCCCGGGGTCTCCTCAAATTGGCCGATTTGGGGATATTTTTAGGACATTTTATATTAATTTCATTTTATTTTATCGTTTCAGGACCTCAAAGCAGCCAATCTCCTGTTGGACTCCCGGGGGCTCCTCAAATTGGCCAATTTGGGGATATTTTAGTTTATTTTTATATTTATTTCAGTTTATTTTTTATCATTTCAGGATCTCAAAGCAGCCAATCTCCTGTTGGACTCGCGGGGTCTCCTCAAATTGATCGATTTGGGATATTTTAGTTTATTTTTATATTAATTTTGGTTTATTTTATCACTTTAGGATCTCAAAGCAGCCAATCTCCTGTTGGACTCACAGGGTCTCCTCAAATTGGCCGATTTTGTGATATTTTAGTTTATTTTTATATTTATTTTAGTTTATTTTCTCATTTCAGGATCTCAAAGCAGCCAATCTCCTGCTGGATTCCCGGGGTCTCCTCAAATTGATTGATTTGGGATATTTTAGTTTATTTTTATATTAATTTCAGTTTATTTTCTCATTTCAGGATCTCAAAGCAGCCAATCTCCTGTTGGACTCCCATGGACTCCTCAAATTGGCCGATTTGGGATATTTTTGTGATATTTTTAGGATATTTTTGTGATATTTTTCTGCTGATTTTGTGCCATTTTTGGGTTAATTTTGGTCTATTTTTTGGGATATTTTTGGGATATTTTGGGGGTGATTTTTGGGATATTTTTGGTCCATTTTTATATTTATTTTGGTTTATTTTTTATCATTTCAGGATCTCAAACCAGCCAATCTCCTGTTGGACTCCCGGGGGCTCCTCAAATTGGCCGATTTGGGGATATTTTAGTTTATTTTTATATTAATTTTGGTTTATTTTATCACTTTAGGATCTCAAACCAGCCAATCTCCTGTTGGACTCGTGGGGGCTCCTCAAATTGGCCGATTTGGGGATATTTTTGGGATATTTATGTGATATTTTAGTTTATTTTGATATTTATTTTAATTTATTTTATCACTTTCAGGATCTCAAACCAGCCAATCTCCTGCTGGATTCCCGGGGTCTCCTCAAATTGGCCGATTTGGGGATATTTATGTGATATTTTAGTTTATTTTTATATTAATTTCAGTTTATTTTCTCATTTCAGGATCTCAAACCAGCCAATCTCCTGTTGGACTCGCGGGGTCTCCTCAAATTGGCCGATTTTTGATATTTTAGTTTATTTTTATATTAATTTTGGTTTATTTTATCACTTTAGGATCTCAAACCAGCCAATCTCCTGTTGGACTCGCGGGGTCTCCTCAAATTGGCCGATTTTGGGCTCTCTCGGCTGCTCCACCCCAGCCCAGGGCGCCCCTACAGCCACCAGGTGGCCACCAGGTATGGGCTGGGGCACCCAAAAATACCCCAAAATAGCCCTGAAATATCCTGAAAAATACCTCTGAAATATTCAAAAAAATATCCCTGAGATATCCCCAAAAATCCCCAAAAAATATCACAAAATATCGCTGAGATATCCCTGGAAATTTCCCCAAAAATCCCCAGGTGGCCACCAGGTACGGGGCTGGGGCACCCAAAAATATCCCAAAATATCCCAAAATATCCTCAAAATATCCACAAAATGGCCCTGAAATATCCCCCAAAAATATCACAAAATATCCCTGAAATATCCACGAAATACCCCTGAAATATCCCTGAAATATCCCAAAAATCCCTAAAAAATCCCAAAAATATTCCCAAAATATCCCTGAAATATCCCAAAAAAATCCCCCAAAATATCACAAAATATCCCTGAAATTGTCCCAGAATTCCCAAAAAATTCCCCCAAAATATCCCCCAAAAATGTCCCAGAAATTCCCCAAAATGCAAAAAAAAATCCCACAAAACATCTCTGAAATCCTCCCAAAATATCCCCAAAAAATGTCCCATAAATCCCAAAAAATTCCCCCAAGAAATCCCAGGAAAAACTCCTGAAAAATCCAAAAATTCCCAAAAATTCCCAGGTTTTCCCCAAATTCCCAGAATTTTCCCCAATCCCAGGTGGTACCGAGCCCCCAAAATCCCCAGGAAAAAAAACAAACCAAAAAATATAAAAAATCCTAGAAAATCCCCAAAAAATTCCCAATTTTCCCCAAATTTTTCCAATTTCACCAAATTGTCCCCAAAATTCCCAATTTTCCCAAAATCCCAGAATTTACCCCAAAAAATCCCAAGAAAAAAAACCCAAAAATCAAAATTAATTCCAATAAATCACCAAAAATTGCCCCAAAAGTCCCCAAAAATCCCCCAAATTTTCCCAAAAATCCCCAAAATTCCCAAATTTTCCCAAAATTTTCCCAAAAATTCCCAAATTTTCCTATTCCAGGTGGTACCGAGCCCCGGAGCTGCTCTACGGCGCCCGAAGCTACGACGAGGGCGTCGACCTCTGGTGAGTCCAAATTGGGGGAATTTTTGGGATGTTTTGGGATTTTTTTTGGAATTTTGGGAATTTTGGGGAATTTTTGCAATTTTACGGGAATTTTCTGGGATTTTGGGGGAATTTTCCAGGAGATTTTTGGGATTTTAAGGGGATTTTTGGAGCATTTTTGTGGTGTGTTTTTTTTGGGGGGGGATTTTTTTTGGGAATTTTTGGGATTTTTTTGGGAATTTTTGGAATTTTTTGGATTTTTTGGGTTTTTTTCAGGATTTTAGGGGAAATTTCTGGGATTTTGGGGTTTTTTTCCGTAAGATTTTTGGGGTTCTTTTCCCGAAGCTATGACGAGGGCGTCGACCTCTGGTGAGTCCAAATTTGGGGAATTTTTGAGAATTTTTTGGGAATTTTTGGAATTTTTGGCATTTTGGGGTCGTTCCTGTGGATTTTGAGGGGATTTTTTTGGATTTTGGTGAAATTTCCTGGGATTTTGGGGATATTTGGGGGCATTTTTCAGCATTTTGGGGATATTTTGGTGATTTTTGGTGATTTTTCAGGATTTTGGGTGTTTTTTTGGTGATTTTTTCCAGATTTTGGGTGATTTTTGGTGGAATTTCTCCGGATTTTTTTTAGGATTTCTCAGAATTTGGGAATTTTCCCAATTCCCCTCTCCCAATCCCATTTTGGGTGAATTTTCCCCGTTTTTATTCCCCCAGGGCCGTCGGGTGCATTTTCGGGGAGCTGCTGACGCTGTCGCCGCTGTTCCCGGGGGAGAACGACATCGAGCAGCTCTGCTGTGTCCTCAGGGGACTGGGGACACCCCGGGATAGCGACTGGCCGGTACTGGGTATACTGGTTTATACTGGGATGGACTGGGATGGACTGGGATGGACTGGGATGGACTGGGATGGACTGGGATGGACTGGGATGGACTGGGATGGACTGGGAGCACTGGGACAGCACTGGGGAGCAGCTCTGCTGTGTCCTGAGGGGACTGGGGACACCGAGAGACACGGACTGGCCGGTACTGGGTATACTGGTTTATACTGGTTTATACTGGTTTATACTGGTTTATACTGGTTTATACTGGTTTATACTGGTTTATACTGGTTTATACTGGGAGAGACTGGGATGGACTGGGATGGACTGGGAGCACTGGGACAGCGCTGTGGAGCAGCTCTGCTGTGTCCTCAGGGGACTGGGGACACCCAGGGACACGGACTGGCCGGTACTGGTTTATACTGGTTTATACTGGGAGATACTGGGATGGACTGGGAGATTGCTGCTCCATACTGGTTTATTCTGGTTTATACTGGTTTATTCTGGTTTATACTGGTTTATACTGGTTTATACTGGTTTATACTGGTTTATACTGGTCCATACTGGTTTATACTGGTTTATACTGGTCCATACTGGTCTATACTGGTTTATACTGGTCCATACTGGTTTATACTGGTCCATACTGGTTTATACTGGTTTATACTGGTTTATACTGGTCCATACTGGTCCATACTGGTCTATACTGGTTTATACTGGTCCATACTGGTTTATACTGGTCCATACTGGTCCATACTGGTTTATACTGGTCCATACTGGTCCATACTGGTTTCTCTCACTTTAGGAGCTCTCAGCTCTCCCCGATTTCCCCAAGCTCCATTTCCACCCCACGGCCCCTCCCCCACTGGAGCTGTTGGTTCCCGGAGCCGACGCCGCTGCTCTGGATCTGCTGGGGCGGCTCCTCCAGTACCGGGCCCGGCTCAGACCCAGAGCCCAGCAGGTAAAATTTGGGGGAAATTTTGGGAAATTTGGGTCATTTTGGGATTTTGGGGTCAATTTCAGAATTTTTGGGATTTTTTTCGGATTTTTTGGGGGGTTTTTTAAAGGTTTTTTTTTGCATTTATTTTGATTTTTTGGTGATTTTTCAATGGTTTCTTTTTATATTTTTTTTTACATTTTTGGGGTTTTTTTGGGTTCTTTTGGGTAAATTTGGGGTCTTTTAGGGTTTTCTTTGGGTTTTAAGGATTTTAGAATTTTTTGGGATTTTTTTCAGATTTTTTGGGTGTTTTGGGGGGTTTTGGGGTCCCAGCTCAGCCCTGCTGGGGCAGCTGCTGCGCTACCGGGCCCGGCTCAGACCCCGAGCTCATCAGGTACAATTTGGGATGAATTTTGGGAATTTTGGGCTTTTTTTAGGTTTTGGGTCATTTCTGACTTTTTTGGATTTTTTTTTGATTTTTTGGGTGGGTTTTTGGGGTTTTTTTTAAGGGTTTCTTTCGGATTTATATTGATTTTTTAATTAATTTTTTCTTCAATTTTC